TCCCAGCATGCGCTAGGAAACAGGTTGTCTCTAAATAGCTGCATGAATTTGAGCATAGTAGATATGGCGGTATGCACTAGGTACGTTGGCTCCATATAGTCACATTCATTTCTGCATAATGTATAATACTTAGCAGTGTTACATTGGATTTAGTATTAATAAACGTTTTTAGAGCTTTACAAGATAGGTCTGGATTAAGGAAGTCCTGTTTGAACCCAAAGCAAGCTAGATAATTGTTTAAAACCCCAAATACACTTATAACATTATTACATGTATGGTCATTCTACCACATATATTAGATGATATATAGTATATCAGTGAAGGGTGATGGTATAATTTAGTCATTGGTTGTACTATGGTCTATTTGAATAGCTTTTTTCTTACAGCTCTATATAAAGTATAGACAAGCAGGTTCCATCTAGGAATAAAAAAAACAACAATATTGCATCTGCTCTCTGCATGGTCATCATGTTGGGGATCACAGAGCTAGTAGAGTGAGCCTCCCATCATCAGTTACCATATATGATTTTGGGAGATCCTATAGTCCCTTTGATGTGTTTTAGGTCTCTTTCTACATGAAACAGCCCTAGTAGGTCTCAAAATATCAGAATAATGTATACAAGGCCCCCCAAACAGCCATTCTTCTATATAATAAATGGCACGCATGAAACAGCTCTAGTAGGTCCTAAAGATATCAGAATCATATATACAAGGCCCCCAAACAGCCATTCTCCTTTACAATATTTCCAATCAATTTCAGCCCCATAGACCTAAAGGGGATGGTGAGATTGATGTGTTTGGAATGTGGGGTGAAACTCACACAAATATGAAGAGAACACCCAAACCGTGGGATTTGAACCCAGATATGAAAGGCAAGAATGCTAGCCACTTAAAACTTATCTGAACCTAAAACCAAAAATGTAATATAGTGCTTCTTACAGGGTCTTGGAAAAGGTTGCTGCATTTGTTTTATTTTTTCTCCTTTATTGTCACACTTCCCATCTCTTTATGTCTACTATCATTTCTCCATTGTCTCTACAGAGAGAGCGATGGTTGTCCAACAGCCCTGGACTTCAAACAAGTCTACCTTTGTTCATCTCCATTACATGGTGGATTGATGGAACTAGTCATTTACACAATAAAGATATTTTGATGTGCTTTCTTTTAAGCTCACGGGAAGTAGCAAGAACACTGCAATTCTGGCTAAATCAGCCTGTACTTATTGCGGATGTTATTAGCTTGAAAAATGAAAACTAATGCAACCACCACATCTAAGGACGGGTGAGCTGCAATAGATTGAACTTCAATGTTTGGGTTTATATACACTTTAACCACCATGCTGTCCCACCATGTGTTAAGTCCCAATTTGAGTAGCACTTGACCTTATTGCATGGTTTCTGACCACCTGATAAAGAGAGCCTCCAGCGGCCAGAGATGCTTGTTCTCATGCAGGTAGATTTTCCACATTTGTGCTATGTAGCTAAGCAAAGGATCAACGTTTCATACATACGCCATTGTCACCATTGGGTAAACTACATGAAATGTGAACTGTGTCAGCATTTGAAAGAATAAATAATGTCTCCTTATGTTTCACGATGGCATGAAAAAAAAAGCTTTGATTATAGAGAACCCCTCCCTCCATACCTTCAGTCACAAACTGATGTAATTAAGGACACACAGTAAAATGCAAGGACATCTCAGCTCAAGTACTGCTGTAGGTCACAGTCAGAAAAATAGCAAGTGGTCATACAGTATCTTGAGATACCTTTTTTCATTCTAGCTGTAGTATAATAAAATGGTTAATGGAATGACATAAGACAATGAGAAAATGTAAAAATAACTTAGAAGGTATGCTCATTCTACAACAGATGGTGCATGAATATTTTGTCTGTAAGGCTCGGTCTTGATAACAAACGGTAAATGAACAGACAATAGTATGTCTGGAGGCCCTCATACAGGACAGTCAGTTTATTAATTTTAGCATACATCATTGTTCTTTGCCTCACTTGCTCAGTGACATCACCACATTTCTTCCTGCGGCACTGTAGCTGAATGTCTTGTAGGCTTTGATACAAGCCAGATGCCAGAAGTTGGTAGGCACATATTGTATGCTACTACTGTGAAAACTACAGAGATTAAGATAGAACAGAAGGTTTGTATGATCGGATATCAAAGCTTAGTAATAGTACTAGCTTTCCTACCCGGCTATTTTATGCATATTTTTTCTGTTGAAAATGCTCAATATCATTATTCTTTCTTCTACAACATCTAATCACTTTATTCATTATTTGATGGTAAAACAGTGATCTGATTAAGTAAAAAAATTACCTTGGACCCCTTTAAACCTGAAGAGATATATGCAGTTTGATTTAAAAAAAAAAGGAGAACTAAACAATTGTTTTGAAAGCTGTGTGGCCTCCAAGAGTCAAGAAGTCTTTGATTCTGCCATTTAATAACCTCCTATGGTGTGTCCACAGTACGGTTGGTGTGTTAAAATGGAGCTAAGCCCTGGAAGTTGTGCCACAAAAGATAATCAGTGGGCAAAGGCACCAGTTTTCTTGTGATCTCCCTGCAGTTGATCTTTCCCCCATTACTGATTTACAATGCGTTGTTCTCTGTGTAGAAGCGGGCATCATGGTAGAGGCAGAGCTTTGATTCCCCATGTCAGAGCCTCCAGAAAAGAGAACAATGAGCACCACAGTAGTGACATCACCAAATCTCACTCCAGATCTCCTGAACGTGAGTGAGAAAGTGAGAGGCAGCAGTGCCTTGGATCTCACACTGCAAATATACCATGTATACAATGAGGATGTAGGCACACTCGCACACCAGAAAAGTGCACTTCTATTTTTCTGCATAAATTCAAGTCAAAAAATACATTTTTTCAGGGTACAGTTTAGGCACAATTAACATTTTTAAATGCTCCTTATATCAAAGCAAATCTTCACTTTTTGAGTTCAGGTCCTCTATAAGCTGCATTGAATTATTATATAATCACAAATGACAATGTTTTCTTTAGGACTATACAGTTTGTTTTAAAGCAGTGGTGGCAAATGAAGTTAATTTCATTATTATTGTATATGCATACCTCACACATCTTCCTATTATGGTGGAACAATCATAAAGCACATTTCAGGCTCTAATAAGGGGAAGACATGAAAAAATGCCTTTTGATTTTAAACAAATATGGTTAGATTAAAGTGGGTCTTTGTTAAGTAAAAACTGAAAGTTACATGTTGCCGCTTTGCATTTCAGTATAAAAGGAAGAAAATATGACCATAAAATATGAAATATATCGAAAACCAAAAGTGGGAAAGCGAGCGGAATGTTGTTGTTCTTATCTGCACCATGTGGAGATTTTCCTTTCATTTCTGTTTTGGAAACCCAACAGTAAATCATAGGAAATCCCTCCAGATGAAGAAAACTGTTACAATGTTACACTGTTGTCACCGGTATAAATGGCCCGTAATATTTTTCCTCTATTCCTGTTTGAATGGCTCAAAACATTGAATTTCTCTCATTTTCTATATTGGTGACAATATAAATGAAATATAGAGAGTGAATCCTCCTAATGGGAACATACAGAGTAATACAAAGCTGCTCTTCCATATATGTACAAATCTGCCCTGCATACATACGTTAACACCAGCCTTACAGGTACACTGCCTACGGGGGTGCCAGGAACAACTTGCAAAGCTGAGAATAGCCAGAAAGCTGATTAATCAATGCTCTAGGTTTATTTAAAGTTGAATGACGTTAAGCAGGAACATCCACCAGTGTTATGGGGTGAATGCAGGTCCTGTTTCTCAAGGTGACAGTCCCTAATCTGTGGTCTGTTGCCTTATGAAAGGGTGACTTGGTTATTGCTGATTCATTGATCCACTGATCTTGTCATATATTATTTCATATGTAGCAAACAACTAAATCCTGGTGAATGTTCTGTTTTCGAGTCCTCAAATTTTTTCATCATACTTAAACCTTGAAGAAGGAGGAGATCTTTGAGCCACTGAAAAGCATTGGCTCTTCTGTATTGTCTCTTTGTGAACAAATATCAATATTAACAGCTGTTTGTCTGAGACCTTTGTTTGGTGCTCTCTGTGGATGTGTAAATCCTCAGTCTGGGTCCCTGCTTTTGTTAAGAGCAGCCCCACCAGGGCCACTGTGCCTTATCACAATCTAATTCATTTTATGATCATTTCAATCCAGTGCCTTGTTTCTACTTGTTCTAGATCGCCTTAAGATCTTTGTGACCAATTTTTAAGTAAACTTTGAATATTGATTTATTGCTGTGCTGGCCAATCTCTGCTTTTCAAGCAATAAATAAAACTTAAAGGGGTTCTAAATGTTTTCTATCCGAAATGAGAAAAAAAAATAGTTTAGATACACTTTAAGCATTGTACATTTTATACAGCAATACATGGGGCATTCATAATTTCTAATGTCATTCCTTGAATGTATTCATTCATCTTTACGACTGTAGCCTCCAATCAATATTGTGACATGTTCACAGCACAGTATTATTAAATGTGATTGACAGGACTGGGATTTCATTAGGCTTACCCCTAGAGGTTCTAGAGACAAAGTGATGACTTTTATTGCAGTCATCTCATTAAAGCTTATTTACAGGATGTCCCATTTGTCTAAGCTGGGTGAGGGCAGGGAACATAAGAGCATGTTCTGTGTACCTCAGGTGATCCTGGCAGGTGGTTGTTGCTTTAGCTTAAAGGTTGCGTGCCTTCAGGCTCCAGTGATGGAAATCCATCCTTGTTATTGACTAACCATGCATGACAGCAGATAAGCAGACATGATTAGCAAACCATGGTGTTACATATAACTTATATGAAGAATGCAGGAACCTACCTATAAACCTATAAAGCAAGGCCATCTGAGATGCTGTCTGTTGTCCACCACTGCTGTAAAATATACCATGACCATTCTGTCTGATCTAATGTGTTTCATTTACCATGCTGATGTTAATCTTTCTTTTTCTCCCCACTCAGCTTTTGTCCCTGTTCTTTGCCCCTTCGTTTTGTTGGTGAGGATATCACAGTGATGTCTGCATTCAACCTTCTCCATTTGATGACAAAGAGCCAGCCAGTGGCCCTGCGAGCCTGTGGGCTTCCCTCAGGTTGACTGGGTGCTGCTTGTTGTATCATGCATACAGAGAGTCCTTAACTTCTGGTGTGTCTGCTGCAGGAAACCACCATTTGTTATTTCTATTCTATTCATCATTGAACTGAAACTATTTCAATTGACTTATTCCAATAGTTCAAATCCATGCATATCAAACACATACACATGTATAAAATGACTACACATTAACATTTCATAGTAAGCACCTTTCTTTATTAATTCAAGAGAGTCTGCAGAATTATATGTATTAATTTGTAAATGGAGTACTTTACTGTGTTTTACTGTGTTGTTCTTGAGAGTGAGGATCAGGAAGCGGAGGAAAACGAGTGTAGATTACACTGTTCTTCAGTTTTTAATTGCAATTCCTGAACATCCAACTCATGTGACCACTTGGTCCTGTCAGCCTGCTCTAAAATATCTATTTACTAGGTTTTAGAACTATAGGCTCTCAATGAAAACATCTTGACACCCTGGGAGACTGATTTGCATAGCCATTGCATAAAACAAATGCATTGCTTCATGTCGGATCTGAAGATTTGATCTGTTGTATGGGAAATTAAAATATTTCTATTGAATAGGTCATGTGACACAAAATCACGTCAGCCTGTTCTAAATAGATTCAAGCACAACAAAATATATAGTCTCCACCACTATCCTCCATGTTCAGGGAAACAAAAGTTTCTCATTTAGTGGTTAGCAAACTTGTCTTACAGCACTGGGGCCCTGGGTTTGATTGATATCATGGACTCTATCAGTTTGGAGGTTATATATACACTCCATTTTAGATAGGACTGCCTCCTACTATCCAAATATATACCTGTTGGCTTAATCGGCTTCTAGCCAGATTTGCCGTGTGTATGCCTGAGGTGCTAACTTTGCAAAGTAATCACTATCAAGGCAGTAATTGTTTTAGTCTTTTTTGTAAAGTGCCATATAAATGAGTTTGGGTTTCCCTCAGTTTAAAGTGAGCCTATCCCTGCCCACACTGGGTAGAGTAACATACCTGCTTTACAGAAAGCAGAGTCTGCAACATTTAATTACCTTTAATGCTTTTCTCCACTGCTCTGATCCATTTCCAGAGCACCCCAATGTTCTGTTTAAGTTTAAACTTTCTGAGAATGCTGAAATGTACACATGTCATGCAGGGAGTGACACCCATTCTCCCATATCGGTACATTTTAGGTACCCCTGAGGTTGTGCAATCATGGTGGGCAGAGAAGGTAGATGAAAGCTGAAGACTCTTGTAGGGCAACATGGAGGAAAAACATTAGACAACTACACATTCTCACATGAGAAACATTAGTTTGCAGAAAGAAAAAAACCTTGGGGGGGAATTTATCAAAACTGGTGCAGACAGAATCTGGAGCAGTTGCCCATAGTAACCAATCAGCTTCTCTTCAGTTTGTTCAGTTCAGCTTTGAAAATGAAAGAGAGAAGCTGATTGGTTGCCATGCACAACTGCTCCAGTTTTTGTTTTCGTTTTGATCAATTCTCCTCAATGAGTTTTATTTTTTTATTTTTTAGAATGTCAACTCTTCGAAGGTTAGATGCTTACACTAAGTACTTTCATGCTGAATTCATGTACAATTTCAATGTAACAGAAAGGGAAACACTTTAGGGTCCTCACATAGGAAAACCATCTTGTGTGAAAGGGGATGGGTGACATTGCTCCTGCTTGTCATCTGATACACTCAGCAAAGATTAATGAAAATGTACATGTTCATTTCAATTAAGATAGCCTTACCCTTTTGATGCACTAGCTTGCATCCAGTCTCACTATGTACCCAATAGATAATAAAAAATGTGATTTCAAATCAGCGGAAACACATTAAATTGTGTCTGGTTGCAACCAATGATGATTTTTTCAGCAAACAAGGTTTTAAGCTTATGTATGTCAGAGATCATTCTACACAAGTGTCCTCTTAGGTTTGTTGTTTCAAAGCAGATATCCACTAGATGGCACTAGATTCTTTTTTTTTGTTTTTAAAGTTTTGTTTCAGTGTGTACGGACTATTCCACTCCTGCACCATTAGAGTTAAATGTTTCATGCACACACAATGTTTTGCTCACAAAAAGACTATTTCCTGATATATCACAGACCTTTTCCAGCATTAGAAACAATGAAAGTGGCTAAGCAGATCTGTAATGCATTCCAGATATCATAATGAAGCAAAGGAATTCCTGCAGCCACGCTGGGCCACAAAATATGGGGTGTACTGGAAATACCCCATTTGTGATTCATTAAAAGCTCTCGCTTTGTACCAAAGTATAAGACACATTTCCTGCTCAACCTTTTCTTCCTGTTTGTTCCAATGTCTAAGGTTGTGTTCAAACTATAGTCCTTCAGGTACTTTTGCTGCAGCAGACCACCCAGGTTTAAAAATGCCAATAACATATGCCCTAACTGCAATTTTGTAACTGTTAGGGACTCTCAGCTCTCACATGTTCCTCTGTTTACCATGTTGAGTGTTGCCTGCATCACCAGTGCTTTGCATGAATATTAATGATTTCCTATATTAGGCTTTGTACGCATGGGCATCAATACCAAGTGTTGTAGCAAGCAACTGAACAATCCAGTGAGCAGTCAGTTATTTATAGCCCGATTATACACAAATGTCTCCATAAAGTGTTTGATTAACATCTCATTGGACTGATTTAATTAGATACCGTATGCAATATCCCCTGTTTATTAAATGATCAGTTCATCCAAAACTGATACAGTATTTCAGTTATAGTTGACATCTGGTGGCCTAAGTTATCTGCTTTCCTTATGTCTCAGGAACGCCAGCTACAAGATCTTCCTGCTTTTGTTCTCATCTGTCTTGAATTTATGGGTGCTGCCACCCACCTTTTGGTGATTCCACTACTCCAGATTTTCATAATATTGAATAAATGAAAATTCTACCCAAGTGAGCTCAGGCATGATCATGATAATTCTATTTATAAATGTATGATCTCAGAAATGGGTAATACTAATTAGGAGGTGTAGTTGGTACAGATTCGGAGGTTCAGTGAGCATTTTAGAGGAACCTAAACAGATTTTTGATGGTTTTCTGATGCCCTATGAATAAATGGAAAATACTAAAGGCATTAGTTGGCACTTGGAATAAAATGCCCATGGATGCAAATTCTTAGTATTGTATACATTAGTAAACCATAAATTAGAAAAACATTAGAGCAGTGTTGCTGTTTTTATGTTTCATCATATCCTTTGGTGTGAGTGCAATACACCTGTTATTCTGCATGCATACAAGTCAAACTTTTTCACTATACAAGCTGTCTGAATGTGCTTTGGCCATGACATATTTTGTATTTACACAGATGTTACAAATGTTATTGTTACATTTCCACAAAGAACAGACCCTGCATACATTTTCCAAATTCATAACTTCTAGAAAACAAATATGGTTGTTCAAGTTTTGTTTACATGGAACTGTAAATTCATGTGATGTGTTTTGAACTGTTTTCATACTCAGTCAACCTTCTTCTTTTTTTTTTTTTTACCATATATTACATGGGAATGTCTGGTCTACGGAATATGCTATTGAGCAAGACAGAATATATGCTTTTATATACAGCTATGCTGAGTGTTTTTGGGGGAGAGGGTAAGGTGTGTTTGAATGTGTATTGCATGATAACATAGATTGACAGACAGACCTTTGGACAATGCAGTATACGTTTTGCAAGCCCAGTCGTTAGCTAGATTTAAAGTGAGTAGTCAGGCATAACTCCTACCCAAAATAATATGCTCGGTGTTGGGCATTTTAAAGCTCAACTTTTTAAACCATCTTTTATCCAACAATATTGGTGTTTTTGATAGATGCTGAATGGTTGAATCATCCACCTCCTAATGCTATTTTTTTATACTCCTTTTTGGTGTGTGAGCTCTAAGTTATGAAGTTCAGAAATGTCACCAGCACACCAATTCAAACGTGAAAAAGATCCATTTAATGACACAAACTTGTCATACAATGCTAAGTTATTGCCACCCATCATGCTCATTCCAAAAGGGAAATCATCTTACTTGGATTTTTATTTTATATAATGTGCAATGCAGCAGAATGAGCTCCAAGAGGGTCTCACTTGTCCTGTTGGATTAATAATTAAAGTGACACTAAACTCAGGAATTAAACCTTAAAAATGCATTCAAGTACCTATTAACAATAATGTAGCTTATTTGTGTATCACTCATTTGTAAATCATAGTGCTGACACTGTCCTTCCTTCTGGAGGGTGGCTACTTTTGTTGCCCATGGTCCTGTGTGTGTGTGTGTGTGTGTGTGTGTGTGTGTGTGTTGTAAAGTAGCCACTGCTCCAAGCTCACTACCATGATGGTCTACAATCTTCATACAAATTAATAAACTAAATGTGAGATTGTAGTCCATCACAGGAGTGAGCTTGGAGCAGTGGCTACTTTAAAACACACATAGGAATCATTTAATTCCTGAGTTTAGTGTCACTTCACCTGAAGCAGCAAGTGAAGTGAAATTTCTTGAAGGGGGGGCCAAAGCTGAGACTTACAGAGTAAGTTTCATCATCGGAATCTGAGAGATAAAAATGGGCAGGTAGATGATTCAGCTACATTCATCTACTAAAAGTTGAAATGACAGACCCTTTGGGATAAAGGTTACTGAGTCGACCTAGACAGATAAAGGTTATCCATAGAAAAGCATGGATGAGAGTAGGAGGTGGCTCATGAATTAGATTGTATCCTTTTAATGGCATGGATAAATGGTCCCTTCACCAAGAGCAGTACATAGTCAAACACCGGCCTAAGTGGAAGCAAAAAGTTGTGCGGGTCAGCAATCAGGATAACGATGGGCAGATTACACACATTGTTCTTGGTGATCTTCTCATCTCTGAACAGTCTGAGCTGTTTTGTGCCACATCTTATTTCACATTTTAAACAGATCAACCCTTAAAGAACACATGCATTGAGATACCGTCTAACTCGAAAACATGTAAAACTAGACACCCTTTCAAACAAACAAACAAA